ATAAAGGTCAGCTAAGGATGGGTATTAAGGTTCAGTAGATCTAGAGGGAAAGTTATTTAAGGTCAGGGGGTAAGGTGTGGATCTAGAGGGAGGAGGATATTCAAGGCAGGATGTTAAGCTTGGATGTATCTGGAGGGAAAGGTCAGGATATCATGTCATTACATGTGTGTGTGTCTACCATGGTACTGTGTGATACATGTGTGTGTGTGTACATGTGTGTGTGTGTGTACATGTGTGTGTCTACATGTGTGTCTACATGTGTGTGTGTGCATGTGTACATGTGTGTGTGCATGTGTACATGATGTGTGTGTGTGTGTGTGTGTGTGTGTGTGTGTGTGTGTGTGTGTGTGTGTGTGTGTGTGTGTGTGTGTGTGGTGTGTGTGTGTGTGTGTGTGTGTGTGTGTGTGTGTGTGTGTTGCTGTGTATTAGATTGCTTCATCACTTATCATCCAGATGGAACAGCTGGTTCGGATCGGCCATGATGACATCTCCCAACACGGGATCACCTGATGAAAAAAAGGCAAAAAAAAAAAAATAATAAATATATAGAATATTAGAAACTCATGCACACAACCAGCATAGAGAATATGATACAAACAATTAATATAAATTAAATAAAATAAATTTATATACCAGTAGTTTTATAACCAAAGTGTGAAAATAATGAAAGCATGCGGATCAAAATTCTCAAAACGATTTCAAAATGCTAACCTACAGAAGTCCTGCCAAATTCATTTACGAACTATCAATCGGAGAAAACAACTAACCTACAGCGTTGCCAAATTCATCAGCATCCAGTGCCATCATGTCACACTGCCCTGATATTTGGTCAATCTTGTAGTGAATGCCTGAAAAAAGTAGTCTTACTACGAGTATTATGAGTGAGGTTGATGAAATTAGTCAATTTTGTTTTGTAATATTGATTTGTTGTAATTATAAATGTTTTGGTCAGAGAGAGAAAGAAGAGAGAAGAAGAGGGAACGGGTCGGAGAGCTGGGCGAGAGGAGAGAGATGGGAGAACGAGAGGAGAGAGAGACGAGAGTAGAGAGATCGAGGAGAAAGGAGAGATGAGAGAGAGAGAGAGTAGAGAGATGAATGAGAGAGGAGAGAGTCCCAGAGTAGTGATGAGCGAGGAGAGTGACAGCATCAGAAGAACAAGACAACAGACAGACAGAAGACAAGAGACAGAACATACAGAGACAGACAGACAGGAAAAGAGAGAGAGACGACTGGAGCAGACGATCTGCACCGCCCGACCCACGCAGGAGAGAGAGAGAGAGAGAGAGAGAGAAGAGAGAGGAGTAGAGAGAGGGACAGAGAGAGAGAGGAGGAGGAGAGAGAGAGAGGAACGAGAGAGAGAATAGACACGAGAGAGAGAGAGAGAGAAAAGAAGAAAAGAGAACGAGGAGAGAGAGATGGAGAGAGACGAGAGAGAGAGAGAGAGAGAGAGAAGACGAGAGAGTGAGTACGAGAGAGAGAGAGACGAGACGAGAGAGAGAGGAGAGAGAGAGAGAGAGGACAGAGGACAGCTCAAACAGGATGGACAGCGAGACAGAAACAGAACCAAGGAAGAAAGCATCGTGTTACCAAAGATATACATAACACATACAAACCACTATATGAAACAAATATAATTCTCAGTCAACCGCAATACTTCACCTGTGTAGTCTGTATGGGATCCTTCGCTATAGGAGAAAACAGTGCTCATCGGCTATCTCTATATCAGGGGGCTATGTCCAAGACCGGCAGGAGGGTTGTGGAGGTGAATTAGGCGATATGAGACGGTGAAATACACTGAGCAGATAGCGATGAGATTATATACAAGTGCGCTGTTAGCGTTTGAGAAAATCCAATATGAGTATGTTTGGAAAAAATATATATTACGTGAATGCGAGTTATAATTAATAAGGATAATTGAGGGAATGTGTATTATAATGATATTTGGGTGTAGGAATTTGAACTGTGTAGTGGGTATGCGAGAATATTTGGTTGTTTGGATAGAAGGGTTTTGTTGAATATTCACCCAGTGTTTTCCCAGCCCTTTATATTCCCACAGTGGAAGGTTTTGGTTAGTTAAGGGATTGGGGACTGAGGGGATTTGAAAGCATGTACCTTACTGAAAAGGAATAAACTGGATAATAGTCATATATAAAGTCTTTTTCTATTTAAGCTAAGGAATTACTATTGCCTAACAATACCAGTTTTCTTCTAATGTAAGCCCAATGGTTCTTAACCTGCTAACCACGCCTCCTTTTTTACTTTGTCCTTCCCTCCACACCCCCCTTGCATCTATGAATAAAATTTCCTCAAAGATTTTAAAAGAAAATCATGGATATGTTCTTATCTTTTTATTGAAAATCAACTACTCCTATTACTATTAAACTTCACATTATTTGACAATGCTCTTGTTAAGAGAATAACAAATATAATTAGAAATTCTTGTTTTTTCCCCAAGGATTTGTGCCCCCTTCACATATAACTGGCACTTTTTCCCAGGTTTAGAACCACTGATCTAAGCTAATTATACCAAAAGGTTCCTTCTATCCAAGTTTAAGATCTTTTTTTTCTATCTAAGCTAAAGTTTAGTAAAACCAACTATCCCAAAAGTTTTCATTCATATTAGCTAAAGATTACTACACCTAGCTATATCATCTCAGGCAAATATTACTACATAAAAAGCATGACTTGTGGATATGCCAGGCTTTCAAAATTTGTTTCTGTGATTGCTGTACATGTTCACATTATCTTACACAAAAACAAGTTCTTTCTCAACAGCCCGATGGATGTAAAACACAACACACTATTTTCTTGCCAAATAAAGTTATAATAACTGCCAACAGCAACCATAAAATAAGAAGAGAAATATTCACAATGACATTGATTAACTTGCTCATAAAAAAAATATACTTTTTGATTTAAAAACATAAAGTGGACATTAATACCAACAACCATAAAGAGAAGTATCCTATTAACAACCTCAATGAATTTATAAAAATATCCTCTAACATCCAAACACTAACAACCATAAAAAAAGAAATATCCACCATCCACACCATCGTTAACCCACTCACCCAAGACCTGAAAACCAGGGGCGTGGCTTGTGCTTGGCTGCCCTTGAGGTTCACTACACTCTCGATGAAGACCTGGAATTTACTAGGCGGGGTCGGGGGGTCCAGTTTCTCGGGGTCCATTGTCACGCGGTTCTTGCAGTCGAGGCCGCCCTCCACCTGGGAAACAGAGGGGGGGTGGGGGGGAAGGGGTTTGGGATTTAATTAGTGGTTCGGTTGGTGTTATCATTGTTTTTATTGTCATTATTATTTTCATCATCATCAATCATTATTTATTATTCTATAGGTAATTGGCATGTTATGGTAATTATTTATTATCATCATTATAACTACTATCAACATTATCATTGATATTATCATCATCATCATCATCATTCATCATCATCACAACCATGATTACTCTTACATTATTCATATCAACATCACCTTCGCTATCCTCTCCCTGATATCACCCCCAAGATCTCGGCCACTCCACTCACCAGATACGACCTCTTCCTTGAGACATCAACATAGGGCTTGAAAACAATGAAGTCATACACGACAGATTGTGCGAAGCTTGGTACTGAGCTGTCCCAGGGGTCATCTTGCAGACCGTGGACCTTCAGGGGAGAGAGAGAGAGAGAGAGAGAGAGTGGGGAGAGAGGGGAGAGAGAGAGAGGGAGAGAGAGAGAGAGAGAGAAGAGAGAGAGAGAGAGAGAGAGAGAGAGAGAGAGAGAGAGAGAGAGAGAGAGAGAGAGAGAGAGAGAGAGAGAGAGAGAGAGAGAGAGAGAGAGAGAGGAGAGGTGAGAGAGAGAGAGAGAGAGAGAGAGGAGGAGGGAGAGAGAGAGGGAGGGAGAGATAGAGAGGAGGGAGAGAGAGGAAGAGAGAGGGAGAAGAGGAGAGAGAGGGAGAGAGGAGAGAGAGAGAGAGAGAGAGAGAGAGAGAGAGAGAGAGAGAGAGAGAGAGAGAGAGAGAAGAGAGAGAGAGAGAGAGAGAGAGAGAGTGAGAGAGAGAGAGAGAAGAAGAGAGAGAGAGAAGAGAGAGAGAGAGAGAGAGAGAGAGAGAGAGAGAGGAGAGAGAGAGAGAGAGAGAGAGAGAGAGAGAGAGAGAGAGAGAGAGAGAGAGAGGAGAGAGAGAGAGAGAAGAGAGAGAGAGAGAGAGAGAGAGAGAGAGAGAGAGAGAGAGAGAGAGAGAGAGAGAGAGAGAGAGAGAGAGAGAGGAGAGAGAGAGAGGAGAGAGAGAGAGAAGAGAGAGAGAGAGAGAGAGAGAGAGAGAGAGAGAGAGAGAGAGAGAGGAGAGAGAGAGAGAGAGAGAAGAGAGAGAGAGAGAGAGAGAGAGAGAGAGAGAGAGAGAGAGAGAGAGAGAGAGAGAGAGGGAGAGAGAGAGAGAGAGGAGAGAGAGAGGATGAGAGAGAGAGAGAGAGAGAGAGAAGAGAGAGAGAGAAGGAGAGAGAGAGAGAGAAGAGAGAGAAGAGAGAGAAAGAGAGAGAGAAGAGAGAGAGAGAGAGAGAGAGGAGAGGGAGAGAGAGAAATGAATGAAAAAGAGAAAGAGAGAGAGAGAGAGAGAAGGAGGGAGAAAATGAAAGAAAATGAAAGAAAAAGAAAGAGAGAGAGATTAAGAGAGAAGCCAAATTTTTAAAAAAGGACTTTTCTCTCTCACCTTCACCTGCAGCGGCGCCTTCAGGTTAATCCCATCCAGAGAGTGCCCGTAAGGCATCAGCCATTCGTCGGCGGCGAAATAATAATCAATTGTGTAATTATCTCTCGTCTCAACCAACCAGTGGTCAGCCATAATGCCTCGGATTTCTGCAGGACCTTTGTATTGCTAGGGAAAAAAAAAAAATCAATAAAAAAGGAAGAAAAAAACGATTGTATTAGCTTTGTTTGTCAAAAAAAAAAAAAAAAAAAAACAATAACAATAAAATAAAATGCAGGACCTCTGTATACCCGAAAAAGTATCACCTTTGTATTCCTTAAAATAATAAAAGATAAAAAAAAAAATACATATTACTTTTGTATTCCTTAAAAAAAAGAGACCCATGTACCTCTGTATTCAGCCCTTAAAGGAAGAAAATAGATGACTCTATTAGAAAAGGGGAGTAAAAAAAAAGAAAAGACCACATTTCCTTTCGATTCCTAAAAACAAAAGAAAAATTTAAAAATTACTGTGTTACCTTTGCATTCCTAAACACAACAAAAATTCTTGTATACCTTAAAAAAAAAAGACAATAATAGTCAAAAGGAACCGCATTGCATTTATATTCCTATAAAGGTCAAGGATTACTAAAAAGGAGAAAAAGTGGGAAATTCATTTCTTTTGTTGTTGATCTTTTTTTTTTCTTTTCTTTTGGTTACTCATCATCTTCTTTATTCACCATTTGAAAACTTTTTTTTTACATCTTTGTGCCTCTAACCCTTTAAACTAGTAAATGAAAAAAGGAAAAAAGAAGGTGTTAGAGTAATTAAAGATGTTTATTACTATAAGTACACCTCATATATGTCTATGATAAACCTCATATTACCTAGACTAAGGTAAAGATATTTTCTGTTAAGTTACCCATATAAAAGTATATTTTCTTTTATGTACGCCATCTTACGGCAAATTTTTATAATCGTGTAATGTAAACAACCCAATGTAGTGTTAATCTCATCAACTCTGTGTTTTACTGATCCCCACAGGAAATCATATATGCATTGACAAGCCAAATTTGCTTAATACACGCAGGGAAGATGAGTCCTCCCTCTACGCCAACAGAAGGAAATCTTATTTTACTATAATATTTATTATAAAGCAAACAAGAGAAAAAAGCATATGAGAAATAAAAGACACATAAAACAAAAAAAAGAGCTGCCTCTCTCCCTTCCGTCCTCCCCACCATCCCCTCCCCCTCGAAACTCACCATCTGAATCGCATAATCCCGAACTAGCCTCAGCAGTGCAGATGGTCCATACAGGAAGTTCTTTTTGCCGTTGGGGTCGTTGCTCACGTAATGCCAGCCCCACAGGTGGTAGCCCTTGTGGTCGAGCAGGCTGGGTGGAGGGGGTTATAAAGGAGGTAGAAGGAAATGGTATAAGGGCATGGAGGGGAGCCAAAAGGTGTGTGTGAAATAAGGGGAGGGAAGGGAAATGAAGGAGTGAAGTTTTGAATGTGGTATTAGGTGACAGGGTAAGTTTTTAATATGGTATAAAGTTAGTGAATGTAAGTTCTGAATGTTTCATAAGGAGAGTGAAGGCAAGTCTTCAATGTGGTGTAAGATAAGTGAAGGTAAGTATTTTGGATGAAATGATGTAGGTGAAGGTAAATTTTGAATGAGGTATAAATGAAGGCAAGTTTTGAATATGGTATAAGTAAAGATAAGTCATAAATAATTGCAATAGTAATGACATGAAAAAGAAATACATCTTCTAAGATAATATTAATACTAATAATTGCAATAACAATTACATAAAAAACCATTGATAAGAAATACATCTTCTAGGATAATATTAATACTAATAATTGCAATAACAATCACATAAAAAAACTATCGATAATACATATATCTTATGACAATGATAATAATAACAGCAACAATAACATTATGAAATACACATAACAACAACAAAACAAAAAAATAAAAAATAAAATAGCTCACCCTCCCACTTCACAGTCCGTCCCGCTCACCACAAAAGTCTGGCTTGATTTCGTATAGTAATTCGTCTTGGTGATCTTGCCATGCTCGGTCGTGATCAAAACGCCTTGCTCTTCGTCGATGTCATAGAGTTCGTCCACAATCATGCTAGCTCCTATTAACTGTGCGTAGGGGGTGGGGTGAGAATTTTTTTTAGTTGTGATTGCAGACAGGACTGGTTGTCAATAAAGATTTAAGTGCAAATGAGGGGGCGGTTGTGGATAAAATGATAATTAAAAAGATTATTGAAGAAAAATTGTGATTATCAATGGCAGGGGTAATGGTTCTACATAAAGATTTGAATGCAAATGAAGGGGAAGAGGAGGGAAAATGTAGATAAAAAGATATTTAAAAAAAGGAAGTGATTCTAAATTTGGAGGAGGAGGAGGTGGAGGTGGAAAAAAATTATTGCAAATTACATTGTGATTATGAAAGGACAGGCAGGGGATAGAAAAAAAAAATTATGAATGCGGAGAGCATGAATATTTTAGTTGTAATTGGAAAATAAATAGAATAAAAATATATGTGCGATTAGGAATTAGAGTATGACTGTACATGTATGTGTTTGTATATTAAGACGTGTTTTTAAACAAAATGTAACTAAATTTATAAATGTGAATATACATATTGTGACTGTAAATAAAATGTTTAAATAAAAATACAGCTGTAAATAAAATTCAATAGTAAATGAAAAACGACTCCAGATAAGTGATTGCAAAATTAAAATGTAAAATAGACATGTTTTCAAAGATGTGATTGCAAATGAATATGTGATTGTGAATA